TCTTCACTTCCTATGTTACCACTTTGGATGTCGACAAAGATATAAGTTTTTCTTCTTCTTCACTTCCTATGTTACCACTTTGGATGTCGACAAAGATATAAGGTTTTCTTCTTCTTCACTTCCTATGTTACCACTTTGGATGTCGACAAAGATATAAGGTTTTCTTCTTCTTCACTTCTTATGTTACCACTTTGGATGTCGACAAAGATATAAGTTTTTCTTCTTCTTCACTTCCTATGTTACCACTTTGGATGTCGACAAAGATATAAGGTTTTCTTCTTCTTCACTTCCTATGTTACCACTTTGGATGTCGACAAAGATATAAGTTTTTCTTCTTCTTCACTTCCTATGTTACCACTTTGGATGTCGACAAAGATATAGGGTTCTGCTCCTTGCACTTCTTGCTACACCCACCACAGTCACATCGCGCTGTTGAAGAGTTCCTGTGAAGTTATCTTTCCATTGATGCCTTGGTCTACATCATGTTCTACGTCCTTCTCCTCTTTTAGTGTATTTCTTTTTTGGGATGGCCGGTCTGTTTATATTTCACTGTATTTAATGTAGCGACAATAAATCCATTGCCGGCTTTCTAGACGTGTCGTAAATTCACCAGAATTGCGCATGCGTACCTGAATGATTTTAAAATTTGAAAAATAATATTTCCTTTGTTTCCATATCTACCCGGGGTGAAATGCAAAACAAAACAAAACATGTACTGGGAAGTGACGACGGCCGTCGAGATGTTAACCACATTACCCACCCAGTCCGGATTAGTCTTAAAAAAACATGAGCATAGCGGCACATTGATGATTCGCTAACAGTTTATAGATACTACCTGCTTTAGCAGTCGTCAGAACCACCCATACTGAGTGTTGAGTTTAGCTGAGTCAAGAAGAATTGACATGACAGGACTCGGGCATTCCCATGCATGCTCCGTCCTCATTTTCAGCAGCCGGTGCAGGCTTCCCATACTGACTGTACCGGTCACAATCTAGTTATATGTCTGTCTTGCCTTTCCTCTGAATGTAGTGAACTGGTCAAACCCTCTGGTTACACCCAGGTGCTCATTCTCTCCAGGCCATAATAATCTTCTTTCTCTAGTGATTCCGTTGCTTGTTCCCAAAGGGCCTTGACCCACCCACCCACACTGAACTACATATTACTTCATAACCGTTTTTGAGTGCCCCAGTGTACATGCGATACGTGGTTAAACAGTTGAAAGGTGTTTTGGGGATTTGTACCGGTTAGATTCTCATCCTTGAGAAGTTAATCCTACAGCCTTGGAGCTGTCATAACATCTGACGGGAGATGTCTTTTAGAGATTGGCAAAAACGTGGCAGTATGTTTTGTGGTATTGACTGACTAGAGGTGGTGTGTCTAAGTTTGTTTGAAGTGTATTTGATGTTTCCACGTTTGTTGAGTGTATTCTATTTCTTCTAGGTCATTGAGGGGGCTTGCAGTTTCTGGTTTCGTTGAGTTTATTTGATGGTTTCGAGTTTGTTGAGTGTGTATGATATTTGTGAGTTGTCTGTTGGGTGTGTTTGGTGTCTATGGTGTTGTTGGGGGTGCTTGATGTTTCTCTCTCTCTCTCTCTCTCTCTCTCTCTCTCTCTCTCTCTCTCTCTCTCTCTCTCTCTCTCTCTCTCTCTCTCTCTCAAACACACAACAAACGCAGAAACATTTAAAGTTCGTTTGTTCTCTCTCTCTTCTCTCTCTCTCTCTCTCTCTCTCTCTCTCTCTCTCTCTCTCTCTCTCTCTCTCTCTCTCTCTCTCTCTCTTTCTGATTGTGTATGTGTTTGTTATAGATTATTTCATGTTTCTGTGTTTGTTGAGTATATTTAATATTTCTGAGTTGTGGGTGCTTGATGTGTCTGTTGTTTTTTTTTTTTTTGTGCACTTGATATTTCTGCGTTTGTTGTGTGTATTTGATGTTTCTGCGTTTCGTGTGTGCATTTGATGTTTCTGAATTTGTTTGATGTATTTGATGTTTCTTCGTTTATTTTGTGTACTTGATGTTTCTGCGTTTGTTGTGTGTATTTAATGTTTCTGTATTTGTTGAGTGTATTGGAGGTTTCAGTGTTTGTTGGGTGTATGTGTTTGATGTTTCTGAGTTTGTTCTATTTTATGTTGTTTCTGCGTTTGTTGTTTGCATTTGATGACTCAGTGTTTGTTGGGTGTATTTAATGTTTATGCGTTTGTTGAATATATTTGATGTTTATGCAGTTTTTGGGTGTTTTTGATAATCCAGCGTTTGTTGTGTGTATTTGATGACTCAGCGTTTGTTTGCTGTATTTGATGTTTCAGTGTTTGTCGTGTGTATTTGATGGTTCAGCGTTTGTTGGGTGTATTTGATGTTTCTGTGCTATTGATAATGTTCATAATTAAAGTAGTTTTGCCAGTGACAAAGATGATTGTTATGGTCGTATCGATGATGATGATGATGATGATGACGATGTTTATGAAGACGAAGATAGCTTTGATGGTGACTGCGATGCTGATAATGATGATGATGATAATGATGATAATGATGATAATGATGATGATGATGATGATGACGATGAGGATTACTATTATTATTATAATTATTTTTTTTTTCGATCCTTGAAGATTATGCTGGTAGTGGTGATTGCAACGTTGACAACAAAAATATTGTTGATAATTTTTATTATGATTATAATGATAGTACCTTTTGTTGTGATAATGGTGGTGGTGGTGGTTGTAGCGATCAGGTGGTGGTAGGTGTTATGACGATATGATGATCATGATGATTTTGACAATCAGGATGATGGTGATGGTGAAAATATATGTGGTAGTTTTGGTGGTAAAAGTGAAGGTATTAGTTTCGACGATATTGGTGATAACGGTAGTGTTAAAAGAGAGGGTGACTTTCGTTATATAGGTTGATTATACCAGTTTGTGTGGATGATGACGATGACGCTGATTCAACTAATAAACATAGCCCTACCTCTAAACCGACGGGTACCCAAAAAAAAAAAAAAAACATCAGTAAAAACACGACAAAATACATAAACTCCAAAGCCCCTCAGAGCGATGGCTGCCCAGTGTCCTTCCTTTGCCACAGATAAAATATTTACATACCGCCTTGTGAAAACCCGTCGCTGGTTTATGATGTACATACATCATACTTCTCTAAAACCAAGAACGACCACAAACTCTGTACCCCTGGGATAGGTACTAATAATCCAGAACCTATCTTCCCATCGAGCTAAGTCAGTATCATTTATGCAGACAATTAGGATGGGAAGTGTCTCCCTGGGGAAGCAGTAGTTTGAATAGTAGTACATCTAGTACATGTAAGATGTTTTGTGTACTGAAATTGTGTGTGAATTAAGGGACGGTGGAAATCGGGTAGGTGAAATACAGCTAGATGTCATGTGGGTGTAATATTATAGCAGTTTTGTTTGCTTTCATCTTTATACTGTTTCCTTTGCGGCAGTTTTAATAAGGCTGTGTTCTGTTTGGATTCTATGTATGTTCCAGTACAGATGATGTGTGTCAGTCTGGTGAATTTGTGTGTTATGTTTGAGTTTGTTAAATATTGATGGGTCTGGCTTTGCTAAATGTTTTTCGTGTTTCTGTGTTTTCGGAAAGTATGTCATGTTTCTTTGTTGAGGGTATTCTACGTTTCTCTATTTGATAGGTGGATTTGATGTTCTGTGTTTGTCACATATTTTATGTTTCTAAGTTTGTTTAGTGCAACTCATGTTTTCGAGTTTATTGACTGCACATGCTATTTCTCAATTTGTTGAGAGTCTTTGCTGTTCTAGCCCTATCAATAGGTCGCACAAGACCACCAACACATATTCATTGAAGTTATGAAGGAAACAAAATTGTCTGGGGGTCGCTACAACAAGAGGGAACTTTACTAAAGGGTCGCGGCGTTAGGACGGTTGGGAGCCACTACTTTACACGACTTTGCAGAATTAACGCCAACTTTTTTTTTCTGTTGTGTTTTTTTTTTTTTTTTTTTTAAATCAGTTTACGTTCAGTAGTTTGCCATTGATTTCTAAACTGTCAACATTCGGTACCACTGTCGAAACGCCCCACATTGGGAGGTATTGTTTCTATTTGTTTAAGTATGCCCCACATTGGGAGGCATTGTTTCTATTAGTTTAAATACGTCCCACATTGGGAGGCATTGTTTCTATTAGTTTAAATACGTCCCACATTGGGAGGCATTGTTTCTATTAGTTTAAGTACGCCCCACATTGGGAGGCATTGTTTCTATTAGTTTAAGTACGCCCCACATTGGGAGGTATTGTTTCTATTTGTTTAAGTATGCCCCACATTGGGAGGCATTGTTTCTATTAGTTTAAGTATGCCCCACATTGGGAGGCATTGTTTCTATTAGTTTAAGTACGCCCCACATTGGGAGGTATTGTTTCTATTTGTTTAAGTATGCCCCACATTGGGAGGCATTGTTTCTATTAGTTTAAATACGTCCCACATTGGGAGGCATTGTTTCTATTAGTTTAAGTATGCCCCACATTGGGAGGCATTGTTTCTATTAGTTTAAGTACGCCCCACATTGGGAGGTATTGTTTCTATTAGTTTAAGTACGCCCCACATTGGGAGGTATTGTTTCTATTAGTTTAAGTATGCCCCACATTGGGAGGCATTGTTTCTATTTGTTTAAGTATGCCCCACATTGGGAGGCATTGTTTCTATTAGTTTAAGTATGCCCCACATTGGAACGCATTGTTTCTATTAGTTTAAGAACATTGGGACGCATTGTTTCTATTTGTTTAAATACGCCCGACATTGGGAGGCATTGTTTCTATTAGTTTAAGTATGCCCCACATGGGTTAACTTGCTCTCCTGTGCGTTAGAGAAACATAGTGACTTGGATTGTTCTATTTTGATGGTTTTTTTGATAGTCTGCACAATGTTGTTATATTTGTTGTTACAGGTGGCTACAACATCAACGCCTTCTACCCGCACCCCAACAACAGCCTGGTCTGCAACAACCTCATGTTGTTGATGAGGATAGAAAGCGAATGTGATCGAGGGGAGGGAATCACTTTTGAATTTAGGTACACCAGTTGTCACCCTTGATGTAATGTTTGTTGTTGTTCTAATCTTAATCTTGGTTATAATACCCCTATCATAGGGAAATCAATAGCGCTTTGGCATTTGAAAAGGGATTCAGTAAAGTCAGGGGGTTTAGAAAAGTGATGTAAAGTAAGGATATTTATCAAAGTAAAGTAAGGGGATTTATCAAAGTAAAGTAAGGGAATTTATCAAAGCGGCATTTAGTAAAGTAGAGTAAGGGGATTCAGTACAGTAAAGTAAGAGGATTTAGCAAAGTAAAGTAAGAGGATTTAGCAAAGTAAAGTAAGAGGATTTAGTAAAGTGAAGTAAAGAAAGGGGGTTTAGTAAAGTAAAGTAAGGGTATATAGTAAAGACAAGTAAAGTATGGGGGTTTAGTAAAGTAGTAGGATTTAGTAAAGTAAAGTAAGGGGATTTAGTAAAGTCAAGTAAGAGGATTTAGTAAAGTGAAATTACGTATAGGGATTTAGTAAAGTGAAGTAAAGTAGGGACATTTAATAAAGTAAAGTAGGGGGATTAGGCAAAGTAAAGTAAGGGGATCTAGCAAACTTAAAGTAAGGGAATTTAGCAAACTAAAGTAAGGGGATTTAGCAAACTGAAGCAAGGGGGTTCAGCAATGTAAAGTGATTTAGCAAAGTAAAGTAAAGTGGTTTAACAAAGTAAAGTAAGTGTATTTAGCAAAGTAAAATAAGGGGGTTTAACAAAGTAAAGTAAGGGTATTTAGCAAAGTAAAGCAAGGGGATTTAGCAAAGTAAAGGAAAGGGATTTATCAAAGTAAAGTAAGGGGATTTAGCAAACTAAAGTAAGGGGATTTATCAAAGTAAAATAAGAGGATTTAGCAAATTAAAGTAGGGGGATTTATTAAAGTAAAGTAAGGGGGTTTAGCAAAGTAAAGTAAGTGGATTTAGCAAAGTAAAGTAAGGCTTTAGCAAAGTAAAGTGAGGGGATTTAGCAAACTTAAAGTAAGGGGATTTACCAAATTAAAGTAAGGGGTTTTAGCAAACTAAAGTAAGGGGATTTAGCAAACTAAAGTTAGGGGATTTAGCAAAACAAAAGTAAGGGGTTTTAGCAAACTAAAGTAAGGAGATTTAGCAAACTAAAGTTAGGGGATTTAGCAAAACAAAAGTAAGGGGGTTTAGCAAAGTAAAGTAAGAGGATTTAGCAAACTTAAAGTAACGGGATTTAACAAACTCAAAGTATTAGGATTTACGTAAAGTAAAGGATACTGGAGCGTCGGGTATATGAGGAGAGACTCATATTTTTAGTCTAATCAGTACTGAGTGGGTAACATGGTCAAGATCACAAGGGCGCCTTTACGTCTCATGACATTCTTAGTACCCATTTCAAGTTGGGTTGACGTGGGAGCCAGGCCATTTTAAAAAAAAATCTATGAAGATTCGAACCCACGTCAGAATTGGAGCAAACAGCGTTTTAACAGTGTATAATTGTTTTCCTATACATGTATGTGTTTTTACATTTTACAATTGTATATATATATATATATATATATATATATATATATATATATATATATATATATATATATATATATATGTGTGTGTGTGTGTGTGTGTGTGTGTGTGTGTGTGATTTGTTTCATTTATCATTCTGCGCATAATATTATTAACTATTATGCACTTCAACAAGGCATATGCTCCTTGAGCTATCTACCCCTCTCCCGTTTCTATGTGATGGCATTTCTCTTTTTGTTCAATGAAAATATAGCACTGTTTAATTCTTTGCCTCCACGTTTTCTAAAATACGTGTAGTTTACCAACTCCTGCTTCACTCAGCTTTACATACGGATGTGAGTCGTGGATTATCTCACAGTCTTAAGAAAGAAAATAGGAGCTTTTCAGCTGAAATGCTGTATGAAATTCTCAATATACCATGGACAATGAAGAGAAGATATACTGACATTTTAACAGATCTGAACATCAAGAGAGATTAGCTAATAAACAGCATTTTGTCTCGGAGACTGAAATGTTTTGGTCATATCAAACGCCAAGACAGACTGCAAAACATAATAGCAGAAGGCACCAGGAAGGAGGGGCAGGAGCCGACCAATATGAAGATGGGCAGAGGATATAAGTGACTCCTTAAATATTAAAGTATACGATCGATATGGAGAGCTGGTGAGAGGCCACGTTTCTTTCAGTCAGACTGTGATGAGAGCGACGTTCTGCAAAGAACCTGCTAGATGATGCTGAAAATGTTTCCCTCAAATACCTCCAGTTTGTTTGTACATACTCTTGTATCCTCTACGAACGTCAATCTGTGTTTGAACGTGTGTTAATTCGTCTCCAGGAGAGAAGAGTGCATCCCTAAAGAACTGCCCCAGAAACTTTTTCAGCGGGCACACTGCGTGGCTCACTGGACCCAGGATAACTATACGTTTATTATACTGCAGGTGAGTTGTGTAAATCATACTAGAGTTATTGTCTGATGATAGTCAATCTGTAGCTATACTAGTTCTCTTGTCTGATTATAGTCAGTCTGTAGTTACACTAGTTCTCTTGTCAGATTATAGTCAATCTGTAGTTACACTAGTTCTCTTGTCTGATTATAGTCAATCTGTAGTTATACTAGTTCTCTTGTCTGATTAAAGTCAGTATGTAGTTATACTAGTTCTCTTGTCTGATTAAAGTCAGTATGTAGTTATACTAGTTCTCTTGTCTGATTAAAGTCAGTATGTAGTTACACTAGTTCTCTTGTCTGATTATAGTCAATCTGTAGTTATGCTAGTTCTCTTGTCTGATTATAGTCAATCTGTAGTTATACTAGTTCTCTTGTCTGATTAAAGTCAGTATGTAGTTATACTAGTTCTCTTGTCTGAATATAGTCAGTCTGTAGTTATACTAGTTCTCTTGTCTGATTATAGTCAGTCTGTAGCTGTACTAGTTCTCTTGTCTGATTATAGTAAAGCTGTAGTTATGCTAGTTCTCTTGTCTGATTATAGTCAATCTGTAGCTATACTAGTTCTCTTGTCTGATTATAGTAAAGCTGTAGTTATACTAGTTCTCTTGTCTGATTATAGTCACTCGTTAGCTATACTAGTTCTCTTGTCAGATTATAGTCAGTCTGTGGTTATACTAGTTCTCTTGTCTGATTATAGTCAGTCTGTTATACTAGTTCTCTTGTCTGATTAGAGTCAGTCTGTAGTTATACTAGTTCTCTTGTCTGATTATAGTCAGTCTGTAGTTATACTAGTTCTCTTGTCTGATTATAGTCAATCTGTAGTTATACTAGTTCTCTTGTCTGATTATAGTCAGTCTGTAGTTATACTAGTTCTCTTGTCTGATTATAGTTAATCTGTAGTTATACTAGTTCCTTGTCTGATTATAGTCAGTCTCTAGTTATACTAGTTCTCTTGTCTGATTATAGTCAATCTGTAGTTATACTAATTCTCTTGTCAGATTATAGTCAGTTTGTAGTTTTTCTAGTTCTCTTGTCAGATTATAGTCAGTTTGTAGTTTTTCTAGTTCTCTTGTCAGATTATAGTCAGTTTGTAGTTTTTCTAGTTCTCTTGTCAGATTATAGTCAGTCTGTAGTTATACTAGTTCTCTTGTCACATTATAGTCAGTTTGTAGTTATACTAGTTCTCTTGTCTGATTATAGTCAGTCTGTAGTTATACTAGTTCTCTTGTCTGAATATAGTCAGTCTGTAGTTTTTCTAGTTCTCTTGTCAGATTATAGTCAGTTTGTAGTTTTTCTAGTTCTCTTGTCAGATTATAGTCAGTCTGTAGTTTTTCTAGTTCTCTTGTCAGATTATAGTCAGTTTGTAGTTATACTAATTCTCTTGTCAGATTATAGTCAGTCTGTAGTTATAATAATTCTCTTGTCAGATTATAGTCAGTCTGTAGTTATACTAATTCTCTTGTCAGATTATAGTCAGTCTGTAGTTATACTAATTCTCTTGTCAGATTATAGTCAGTTTGTAGTTTTTCTAGTTCTCTTGTCAGATTATAGTCAGTTTGTAGTTTTTCTAGTTCTCTTGTCAGATTATAGTCAGTTTGTAGTTTTTCTAGTTCTCTTGTCAGATTATAGTCAGTTTGTAGTTTTTCTAGTTCTCTTGTCAGATTATAGTCAGTTTGTAGTTTTTCTAGTTCTCTTGTCAGATTATAGTCAGTCTGTAGTTATACTAGTTCTCTTGTCAGATTATAGTCAGTTTGTAGTTATACTAGTTCTCTTGTCTGATTAAAGTCAATCTGTAGTTATACTAGTTCTCTTGTCAGATTATAGTCAGTTTGTAATCATACTAGTTCTCTTGTCAGATTATAGTCAATCTGTAGTCATACTAGTTCACTTGTCTGATTATAGTCTAGCTATACTAGTTCACTTGTCTGATTATAGTCAATCTGTAGTTATACTAGTTCTCTTGTCTGATTATAGTCTAGCTATACTAGTTCACTTGTCAGATTATAGTCAATCTGTAGTTATACTAGTTCTCTTGTCTGATTATAGTCAATCTGTAGTTATACTAGTTCTCTTGTCTGATTATAGTCAATCTGTAATTATACTAGTTCTCTTGTCTGATTATAGTCAGTTTGTAGTCATACTATCTCACTTGTCTGATTATAGTCTAGCTATACTAGTTCACTTGTCAGATTATAGTCAATCTGTAGTTATACTAGTTCTCTTGTCTGATTATAGTCAGTTTGTAGTCATACTATCTCACTTGTCAGATTATAGTCAATCTGTAGTTATACTAGTTCTCTTGTCTGATTATAGTCTAGCTATACTAGTTCACTTGTCAGATTATAGTCAATCTGTAGTTATACTAGTTCACTTGTCAGATTATAGTCAATCTGTAGTTATACTAGTTCTCTTGTCTGATTATAGTCAGTCTGTAGTTATACTAGTTCTCTTGTCTGATTATAGTCAATCTCTATGTCTGCGAGACTTTGTTATTCTCCTTATCTTACTTCTCATCTTCTTTCACATTCTCTATCTACTCATCCTCTTTCGTTTCCTACTTCTTTTCATCTGTTCCCACTCCACTCCTTATTCTTGTGTGTGTTTTTTGCCTCCTCATTCTTTGTCTAATCTTCATTTTTTACTTCTCATCCATCCTTTTATATTCATATCCTGCTCTTAGTCTTCTCCTCCTTTCCTTAGTCGTTTCACCCTCTTTTAACCACTTCTCGTTCCATGAATCTTTGGACCAATGGATCGACCAAATCAGTCGAAATAAAAAACGAGCCGTCAAAACACACAGCATCTGTCTGACCACTTTACGAAAAATACATTTGAAAACAAAAAATGACCTCTGTTTATCCCTGTCTTACTGTAGAAAAAGAAAACTCTAATAATAAAATTACCTCGACCATAGCGTGTATTTTTAATGTCACGATGAATGTTACGTTAACTATGCCGAACGGATCTTGAAAAGAAGAGTCAGACTAAACTAGCACCCTAGTCCTCCAGGTTGGGGGTTGGGCAAAGGGTTGACAAACTATTACCGTTAAAAAAAAAATACGTTGTTACGGAAACAGGAACACGTGAAATCATTAAACAGGAGGAAAGAAGTGAAGCTTGCCAGATATTTGGTCAAATGACAGCTGAGGATCAAAGCCGAAAGGAAGTCAACAGCCCGACAGTGAATGTTCTTTTTCCCAAAAACACCTTCAGTGTTGGATGTATTGTTTCAAACTGGAAAAGTGGAACAAGTTATTCCTGAGATGCACCTACACAAAATACTTATTTTAGGAATTACAGAAGCACGCTGGACAGGAACAGGAAAAAGAACTCACAGCATAATCTGGTCAGGTAGAGCTGACGAACAACAGACTGAAGGAGTCGCACTAATAATTAAAAGGAGGCTCAGCAACACTTTTATACAGTGGAAGCCTGTAAGTGAACGACTTTTGTATGCAAAATGATCTGTCTTGGTCTGTTACGCACCAACAGAGGATGCAGAAAAGGAGACAAAAGACAGCTTTTACGACAATCTACAAACAAAAGTAGAAGACATGCCAAAACATGATGTATCATTAATCCTGGGAGACTGAAAAGCTCAGGTGGAAAAAAACAACGCAGGGAGAAAGAGAACAATCGGAAAACATGAAACAGGGAAAATTACCAACAACGCAGAGGAATGATGTGCCTTCAGATAAATCTGATGACCTAATAATTGGAGGAACACTCTTCCCTCATAAAACAATTCAAAAGGTCACATGGAGATCTCCAGATGGACACACGGAAAACCAAATTGACCATACTATTATAAATGGAAAATGGAGGAATTCCCTGCAAGACATTAGAGAACGTAGAACAGCGGATATAGGGAGTGACCATAATTTACTTATTTGACAAATCAGGTTAAAACTAAGGAAAGCTAAAACAGAAGAACAAAACCTGCAGCGATATTTTGTAGGAAAATTGCAGGACACATATATCAAACAGCAGTTCAAGATAGAAGAACTCAGAAGCAGATTCAGCCTTTAAGAGGAAGAAACAGAAATGGTAATCGATAAATTCAATGAGGCAGTCAAATTAGCAGGCGAGAAAATATTAGGATGTAGGCGGTCACAGAAAGAGAAATGGATTTCCCAGTCGACTTGGGAGAAAATAGCAAAACGGAAAGATATTCAAAGAGAAATGCTAGACTTAAAATTAGCCAGACTGAAAGGAACATTTTCTAAAGAATGTGCACTAAAGAACAATAAGGTTAAAGCAGGAGCAAAGGCAGATAAACTTTCGTATATTGAAAAACTAGTAACAGAGGCAGAGAAAGCAGCAAATAAACAGGACATCAAAACATTGTACATCATAGCTGAGATCAGGAAAGGAAATGTGGTATCGCACCAAAATTTGCCTTTAAAAATAAAGAGTGGGAAAATGATTACAGCCGAGAAAAAAAAAAAAGATTAGAAAAGTGGGAAGAACCCTTCCATAAATTACTTAACTGTCCAGACCCACCTGTACTTGCTGATATACATGAGGCACAGGAAGACCTACAGATAAGCCTAGAGCCTTTTTCAGAGACGGGGGTTAGGGAGGCGAATAAAGCTCATAAGGTTAACAAAGCACCTGAATGTGATGGAATTTGCCCAGAAATGCTGAAAATGGAAGAAATCGAAATGCCAAAACTATTGTGTAAGATTTTTCAAGAAATCTGGAACAAAGAAGAAATCCCATAGGACTGAAAATGTACAATTATTACATAACCAAAGAAACGAGATTTCGGAAACTGTAACAACTGGAGAGGTATCACATTACTATCTGTAACTAGTAAAATCTGTAGCCGCATAATACTTTAAAGAATGACTCAAGCACTTGATAGTAAAATAAGGCAAGAGCAAGCAGGATTCAGAAAGGGGAAATAATGTAGTGATCACATCTTCACGCTGCGTCAAATAACTGCACAAAGTAACGAATGGAACAGTGCAGTTTTTATGACCATTGTGG